CGACAGTTTTTCTCCTTAAAATCCCTCAAATGGCATTCAAACCTCTAGAATTCTGAACAATACCTAAGGAGTTTTTTAACTGTGTGCTCCTTTTACGCAGTTCTATTACTGGCAACGCTACATGTTCTGTATCATAACTGCTCTGTACCAAGAGGGAGTTCAAAGGTATTTACCTATATTTCCCTAATAAACCTGGCCTGACCCCAAGAAATGTGAAATGAAATTCGGAACAGAATTTTCGATTAGGAATAATTACTTGACTGGGTTTGAAAAATCTATCATTGTGCGGCCTACTCCTATAATGCTTCAGATAAGCCAGAAGTCCTACTTCAGAATACATGCGATTTCGGTACCCTTATCAATTAAAACATATTTTAGAGAAAACGCACGCTAAAATATTTTTCCATATACTCATTTGTTATAAAATCGCGTCTTCTTCCAACTTGATCCCTGAAGAAAGTATATCTTTCGGTTTCAAAAGCGTTCCTCATAGGCAGATTTTTTAGGACCATATAATGTCCACCGAAGTCTCTTTGTATCTGCTCATTTATTAATCACTCTTACGAAGTAAATAGCACAGGCCACACTCATTGAAAAATTGTGCGAGCACTATGTAGTATCTTTTTAATGGCATAGGGAATGCATGCTAGTCCTTAGATGGAAAGCATACAGCTTCTAGATTGAAAATCACAAACGCAAATGCAAAAGCAGATCGCAGGCAAAATTATTCGGGAATCGAAAAACTTTTTAAATCCTTCTTTTGATTATCGCACTTAACGAGAGTTATTTTATGGGACATAAGCACAAAAAATATATTTACTAACGTTTTTACAGAAAATAAATATGAATTTACAAGCGTACCGAAAATAAACATACAATACATGCTACTTAAGTATTAGTAGTAGTCACTGGTGGTCAAGGAGACGTGCACTGATCAATATTCCAAACCCACCTGAGTAATTTTCCCTAATCGAAAGCGCAGTTCAGAATTTAGATTTGCATTTTATAAAGTCAGTCCCCGTCTGTAGGACATTACTAGAAAGGCGCAAGACGACACCAAAATTTTAAAAAAAGTTAAGGAAAACAGCCTGTTCGAATTCAAAGTACACTGGACCGAACGTGTCCTGCAAATCTGAGAGAGAAAGAAGGGTGGAAGGTCCGACATACCTCAAGGTTTTTCGCAAAGTTGCGTATAGCCTGGGTGAGTGTAGGGGGGATGGGTCGGAGGACGTTGGGTATGAGGACCTCCGCCAGAGACTGGTAAAATGTGTGATCATAGAGACGAATGAATTGGTGCACGGCCGTGCTCCTGGAGAGTGCATAGAGACGTTCTTTGGGAAGGGCTTTTTCAAATTCCGAGTTATCCTAATGCGATAAGAATAGATAAATAAGAATTTTGCCTTTAGGCAGGGGGGGGACTAAAAAACTGAGATGGTAAGGCCAAAAAGATTAGCGCCAAAGAAAATGCATGGGACATTTAACTATAAAGCGAACGGTGAAATCTCAGCTGCAAGGCACTAATGACCCACTGAGAACACTAATGTGGTCACCGAAACAAGTTTGGATTCGGAAAGTTTGGTCGGCTCTCTCCAAAATCAATCAGATGTGGGAACTTGTTGGATTTGGACCGATCGGTTTTTATTTCGCGTTTGCTGCCGCGGCCTTTGTATGGATGTGTGTGTAGCTTGACGGCTATTAATGGTGCGCTGGTAAGCCCGCTTCCCCTTCCTGTAGGTTCGTTGAGGGACGGTGTCCGTTGCTGATAGGCCTCCCAATAAAGTTGCCCAATCTGACCAAAGCCTACTATAAAACAACATTAGCCCGAGTAAGAGCCCTTGGTGAAGAATCAGATTCTTTCCCACTGAGGTCTGGAGTTCGACAAGGAGGATGCCCTCTTTCCCCAGTTCTCTTCAACTTCTTCATCGACTGGGTGATGCATCAATCAGTTCTACCTGACAGTGGATGGAAAATGAGCCCTGAATTCGGAGTACCTGATCTGGAGTATGCAGATGACATTGTCGTACTTGGTAATATCCCTGAGTCACTACAGGCCTACCGACCAACCAGCTTCGCTGCAACTGTTGGCCTGACGATTAACATTCACAAGATAAAGCTCTTGACTACGCATCTTGGCACAGCATAGTCACTGTTTATCAGTGCTCAACCCATTAAAGAAGTTAGCTGCTTCCGCTATTTGGACTCAAATATATTAGCCAACGGACAGGCCAAAGAAGAAATCAGGAGCCGAACCGCGCAAGCTCGAAATGCATTTAGGCTGCTAGACAGACCATTCTGGTCTCGCTCAGACATCAGCTGACGTACTAAGCTGCTAATATACAGAGCATCCATCAGACCGTTGTTAGTATATGCCTGCGAAACAGTCAAAAAGGCAGACATTATATCGCTTGACGTCTTCGACCGTTGGTGTCTTCGACGCCTCTTAAGAGTTTTCTGGTAGAATCAAATTTCCAATGTTGAGCTATATTACAGGTGTTTCAAACTACCAAGTCTAGCATCATACATCCAACATCACCGATTGCAACAGTTTGGCCATTTCCTGCGCAAGCCATCGACGGAACTCTGCGGACTGGTCATGAACTGCACTCGTAGTGCAAAACTGGAGATACCGACAGCTGAAGACGTGGCTCAACGCTGTCAAGTCGGACGTCGAACGCATGGACTTCGCGAATATGAACTACTGACACAACTATCGACCAAAAAGGAGCGTTTTGAATTTAAGTGGTTCACTACTAGGACATGAACATAACCTCGCTACCAAAAGTTCTCACCCTCCAAGCCTGGAAGAGGCAACATAGACGCAC